CTAATCGCCATATAAGAGCTTGTAACTATCGCCCTTTACTTCATCTGCTGTTATAGACAAATTTTATTGATTATTTTCTCTGAGAACAGAAAGTTTTTCTTTAAAAAGTACCGCTCTCTGCAGAATGAAATACTAGTAACAACTAACCAAAATTCAGAATATTTTCCCCGACTAGAATTTAAATATTAAAAATGAATATTTTGTTTAAATAAGGAAAAAGCACTGTCTCAAGTCCTGTTTTGAACCTGAGACATCTGTACCTATCTATACATACTGCTGCAAAACATTTTAAAAGCTCATATTTGTGTGCCAGGGCAGCAACTTTTACATATTTTCTTCACTCTTTCACTTAGATATTGTTTGATCAATTTCCTGAAGCCATATACCAAAATGTCACCTGGTAGCTTTTTTTGGTATTTCAACGGGCTGCTTTGATTCTACAGAAGTCATCTTTAGCTTAAGTGCTGATCTCTGTAAAATCTTTCAGCATAAGATATGTCATCTTGGGGTATTTCATTAGAGACTGTGACTTTCAGTAAAAGTTGTTTGAATGCGATTCAAAGCAATGTCAATAGGAAAGTTTGAAAATATGTGAGAGAAATACAGCAAAGTGGACTCATCTTCACAATACCACTCCCACAGAATTGCAGAGGGGATGGAGACTTGAGGTCTTCAGGTAAAGTTTTCAAAAGTACCCAAACATGTCAGGAGTTTAAGCTTGATGAGTCTTAGATACTTTTTACCCCCCTCACCACTTGTGATCATTAAAGATCCTGTGGAGCATTTTACAAGAGTAGGGGTTTTAATGCTGCTGTCCTAGCCACATTCCCATAGAATTACTTTATCTACTTACATTCCTTTGAAGTTTTAAGGGGGGGGGGACAGTATTCTTCTTCACTTCCTGTGCTACACCTAGGAGGCATCTGCACATCAGTATATATTGCAGAGTGCTTCAGGATGACAGAACTACTGAGGGTTTCCTCTAATGTAGTTCTTAGTTCATACACTAAATTCTCAGACAGTGCACTTTTCCAGTGTGAGTGAAAAATGGGGATTCAGAAAGCAGAAACTAGATATTTGTGTCATTCTTCACATGGTCCACAAAAAAGAGAGATTTCTATGGGACAGTGTTCTAGGGTCTGTCTTACCTTCTTGCACTGATTTTACTGTATTAACATGGGTACGATGGAAGTGCAAACACTGTATATTTATTTAATTTCCAAATAAGACATTCTGGGCCAGATCCTCAGCTGGTGTAAAACAGCATAGCTCCACTGACTTCAGTGAAGGCCTGGTCTTCCAGTTGGGGGTCATTTTATTTTATGCTTTAACTTTTCCACCACTTATTTGAGCCCAAAGGGCAAGAAGTTCTCTTCCCTAATCTGCAGCACATCCTGCACTTGTTACCTGCCTGGAACTTCCACAGAGAGCACTGAGGACTCTAGACAGAGAAGAAGAGGGGGATTTTCAAAAGCTCCTAAGGGAGTTAACAGCAGGAGTCAAATTGAAAGTCTATGGGGCTTGTGCTCCTAAATTGCTGAGCCTCTGAAAACCCCATCCCAAGTATATCATATGCAATCAATCCCACATTGCAGACAGGAAATCTCAAGTGCAGAATGGAATGGAGAATTTTGTCCTGCCTCTCAATAGCAGGAAGGGGATTGGTTCGCAGCTGTGTACACAAACTTACATGTACGTAAGTGCTTTCCTGCATAAGTCTCACTGAACTCCACAGAAAGCAGAGCCCTTAAAGTGCTTTGTTGAACAGGGGTGTACTTAAGCAAATATTTAACTGCTTTTCTGAACTAGGGCTTTAGTTAATGTAGCGATGAAGGGCCACACAGCGAGCTGGTGTAAATGGACACATTAACACCAGCTGAGGATCTGTGCCAAAGATTTTTCAGTGATCTTTGGGCCTGATTGTGAGAGGCACATACAACTGCCATTGAAGTCAATGGACATTGTGGGGGCTCAGCACCTCAGACCTTCTGTTCATGGGGCTTATGTTCAAAATTCTGTTTCATTTTTAAATAGTTAAAGGTTTCTTTTTTTTCCAAATCTTAAAGCATGCTTTCAATTTTTTTTGTCATGAATGTAGTACTGTATAAAATCCTGCAAAGGGTTTTCTAAACATTAGAATGTGACGAGAGGTAACCGTGTAGAAAAAAAATTCTTAATGAAATGTATCTGACAAAAAAATTATTTTTTTGTAGAGAGGTGATGCTTTGTAGAGTTTCTGGTTACCTATGTTTGTGTAAATAATGTACATTTAATTTATTGCTATGGTAGCATATTGTATTTGTTATGTATAAAAACTAATTCTAAAGGTTCAAAAATGTATATTTTGTTGCTTAATCGTGTCTTTGCAAAGTTCACAATAAATAACATATTTTGTGCCTGTAAGCGTACCAGGATTTATGTGCACTGATAAAGCATTTGACTTAAACTGCACCCTGCAAAGGTTGCTTGTGATCTCCCTTATGTGATTTTATGCTGGTTTACTTCCATGAACTACAGTGGAGTTACTCCTGCTTTACAGCAGTGTATGAGATCAGAATCAGGCCTATGGGAAAGCAAATGTAAATGAATGGCTAAACCATATAAGCCAGATCCTCACTTTGTAAATTGTAACTGGCATACATCCACTGATTGCTATGGCCAATTTCCATCACCTGACACTCTTAATATAGTGGCAGTTTCCACGGTAAACATCTGATGAAGTGAGCTGTAGCTCACGAAAGCTCATGCTCAAATAAATTGGTTAGTCTCTAAGGTGCCACAAGTACTCCTTTTCTTTTTGTTAATATAGTTGGTAACACACTTTTTCAAAATGAAAAAGTGATCCAACACAGCATGGGCCAAATTTTGTTCATTTAAACTGGTGTAACTTCAGTAGAGTTACTCCTGATTGAGAACAGAATTTGGGACCAATTCAGCAAACCATTTAAGCATATACTTATGTCCCATTGAATGCAATGGAACTTTAAACTTAGCTTTACGCACATGCTTGACTGAAGTGGGTACTTGGCCATTAAAATCTGACACTGAAGCTACCCATTCCAGTTGCTACATGCTATAAATGGCCAGTGCCTTAATTCAATGTTAAAACAATGAATGAGTGCCCTTGCTTATCGTGATCTGAGTTGACCTCAAATTGGGTATTTCTCTCTTTTTAATGTTGTGAATTATTTACTTTACAGAAACCACAAAGGCCATTACTAACACATAGTGCCATTTTCAGGCATCATGTCTCTTTACAACAGTAAGCTCCATAAAACTGTAAGATGAACAAGAAGTGATGACTTTTTGCCCCTTTGGTTAAGAGCACCTGCAAGTAACAAGCTGTTGAATACCAGTGCCCTGTAGGTTGTCTGTGGGTTTGTTTCCAGGCAGAAGCTGTACTGCTTTAACAATACTGGCATCAAAGTGGTACCTGCCCCTTATGTGACACGGCCAGTTATGTTGGTGGAAAGGTGCTTTATACAAATATATTTATATAAAAATGGGTAGGCCAGGTCTCAGTCAACATGGTGGGCAGACCTTCAGCTGGTAGAAATGCCTGAAGTTCATGTGACTTAGCTAGAGTTATATCAATTGAGAAGCTGGCCCTCATGTTCTCTTTTTTTTCCAGAGGTGAATTTATTTCACTAGAGTACTTTTTTGAAGCAGAGCCCCCTCCCTTCAAGGCTCATCGTAAGTAATTTAGGGTGATACCTTGAAATAACATTGGTCCCTACTACTAATCAAACCACATGAAAGAAGGGAAAATAAGTATTCAATTAGTCTAAAACATGCACATTACAGTAACCACCTGGCATAGCTTACCTGGATTCCACCAACCTTTGAGCCCTTACAAACGTTCTCCCTGTGCCAGGCATGAAATTGGATGGTCACTGAAACGCATAAGGCCTCATTTAAATCCCTGTCGTCTGGAAATTCAGTTGCAATGTCCCAGATCCTTCCCTCCTGATGTTGTCTGGAGGCCACATGACTGGTAAAGTGTTCCTAAAGCTTCAGCTGAACAAACTACAAAAAATGTCTGACGCTTGAGCAACACCAGCTAATCTTCTTTGTTAAGGTATTACTCCACTGTCCCTGCAACTTTATATCTTCAACACTGTAACAAAAGAGGGAAACAAAACCAGGAGGCAGAATAAATCTTCCTTGATTTATACCTCAAAGATAATACAGTGGTAAGTGTCATGGGAGTATTAGTCTCTTTATGATGCAGCAGGCAGAGTGCAAAGCACTATAAAGCTGGGATTTTTGACGGAGCCAAAGGGAGATTAACGCCCTTCTTCTCCCTCAGCCTAAAATGATAAGGGTTAATTGTTGCTTTGCACCAGATTCTACAGTGGTGAGGGGCAATGATGAAGTGCCCTGGCAGGAGGCCCTGGGATGCACTGTCGCTGTACCACCTGTAAAGATAATGCCACATGTGTTTCCCAACTGCAGCATCCAGTCCAACGGGTGTGGTGCTAGCCGGGGCAGTCCTTGGTTTCCTTCAGAGCAAGGATGGTGATTAGGAAAAGGCTGGGGGAGGCTCTTTCACCCCCTTCTCCCACCGCACAGGAGCCAGCCACAAACTGGTTCGATAAGGGCACTGTGTAAACAAGACTTCAAACCTCATCTGGCCTACCTTAGGGATGCAGTCCTGTCCCCATATAAATCAACGGGGCCTGAATTTCAGCCACTGGCTCTGACAAGTCCCAGTGTGACTCGTACTGGAGTAAACACAGCTACACCCGTGGCTAAAATCCCAGTATATAGACAGCCTTTCCATGCAACCATGTAACTTTCCCCTATGGAGCGGAGGATGCAAACCAACCAAAACCGAAAACAACATTCACACGAACCCTTGTCAAACACAACGGCAAGCCTCTGTTGTAGAACCAGCCACGGGGAAAAAGAGGGTGGGAATATTGAGACATGAGGAATAACAAATCCACAGACCTTATGCCAACAGCCAGAGATTAAGAATCCAATCAAACAAATCAGAATGTATTTGAATTTTTCGTTATGTGTTTTTATTGCTGTTTAATGACCTCTTTGCATTTCACAAAACTAAGAAAGCCAGCAAGCAGTTTGATTGATTTAGATTTGCACAAATACTAAAAAGGGGCCACAACATGACTTCAAGATATTCCAAGTAGAGCCAAACAAGCCAACGTAAATGACCGCCAGGGGCTGTGGAAACTTTAAAATTCAAATACCTTTTCTTTCCAACCATTTCCCACCCTTATAACTAACCTGCCTGGATGCAACCACCATTTTCAAATACCTGGGGAATAAAAGGTAAGATTTGCAACGTGCCCTGAAGTTGATCAGACAGTCTATTGCAGATGGGAGTTATTTCTAAAGCCGTGGGGTCCTCACAGAGAATTGCTCAGCCAGTAGCCTCATAGGACTCCAGCACATCTGCTGATCTCAACTGCAGCTGCATGGCTCAAGGACAGAGTCTCACGTAGGTAGGTCCTTAAGCCATTTAGGGCTTTATAGGTCAAAAATCAATACCTTAAATATCACCCAGAAACCCAACAAGCAGCCCACAGAGATGGCAGGGCACTGGTAGAATATTCTCTACTTACCAAACAGGCTGCCGCAATCTGGCAGCAGCTTCAATTTCTGGGTTGTTTTCAGGGGCACAACTTAATTCTTGGCTAGGCACATAAATATTAAAGAAGATAGCCAGTGCCCAAAATGGGGCACACAGTAAATTAACTCCTCAAAAAGAAGAACCGGTGTAAAAACCACGCCTCAGCAATGGCATGTATAGCCTGATGCACCCCCATTTTGCATAAGTTTTTTCACGCAAACTGAGTCCCTAAGGCAGATGTGAATGATACTAACCAGTGAGCGGGCAATAGACGGCACAAGTTAGAGTAACACTGTTCGGAAGGTATTGTCTGCATGTTAAATAAAGCATTTCTATATCTACAAGAGACAAATGAATAGGACTAAGCAGGGCAAAGACACGTTTGAAGATATGTGGAAGGATAAAGCAGACAGATTCAGGAAGGTTGTTTTAGATGGTAAGTACTGCAGAGAAGGTGCTCAAACCAGCAAGTGTGGAAGCAAGACAGAGGGAATAGAGTAGGACTCTTGCTGTCATTTACTAGGATAAGTGTACCTGAGCACCCATGTGGCTTTAAAAAAACGAAACACACACCCCCAAAAAGCCCCAGCCATCATAATCCTAACATGCAAATACAAGACATCTGATTGATGACTGAGAAATCCTGGTGAAATCCCTTGGAGGGCATAAAGCCAGATTCTCCACCGCCCTGCACCTTGTGTAGTTTTTTACCCCAAAGGCCTGGTCTACATAGATCTACACCCCCTGAGCGCCATAGCTAGGTCGGCAGAAGAATACTTCCATCAGCCTCGTTACCATCGCTAAGGGAGGTGGGTCTTCCGGCGACGGGGGAAGAAAAAAAAAAACAAACTTTTCATATCCTACAGGTTGCTATGCTACTATCACTCCCATTGTGTAAACTTGGCCCAAATCAGTGCAAAATGCTAGTAAATCCGACTGGGAATGTGTCACACCCACTCTGCACTTGTGTAAATGATTATACAAGGGACCGGGCAACAAGAAATCTGGCCCATTATTTTAAAGGATCTTATCTACGGCCTTGTCCGCATACAAGTTGTATTCCATTAACTATACCAGCATACAATCCCCGCTAGCCCGGAGGAAGTTATTTTAGTGCATCTTATTTCCATGTAGTAAGGGGAATAGGTGTCCACATACGGGGATGTACTGGCATAACTACCTACCGGCTGCATCAGTTTAAAAAAAAAAATAAGAATTCATACCACTAAGCAACATTCATAGCAGTACAAAAATATCCAGACCAGGCTCAACTTTTCATTCCTTTACAACTTGTGCAAATCAGAATTCTCCACTCCCACCGCAGTAGCTTGTACAAGTATAAATGGCTCCAAAGTGTATGTTCGGAGAAACACCATCTAGAGCTCCTGGTGCAGATCCAGCACACGTTCTTTCTTTCCACTCTCTGTGTTGTGATTCATTCCTCAGCTAGGGAGCAGCAGTTCCTAAAAGTGAGGGACAGAAAAGGATATTTTATATTGATTTCTTTAAAAGGATTAAACTGAAAGCCTGGCCTGCTTGGAGCATCATTCTTTACACAGAGCACACTAGTTTTCTGTCTCCACTAGACTGAATGTGTAGACGATGATAAAAATGGTAAGTATTTTCTGGAAAGAACCTAGAACAAAATGAACATCATCTTGTTTTGTTCAAAATTTTTCACCAAGTTGTTCTGATGAAATGAATCAGTTTCATTTCTGGTATTTTTTAAACTTCCCTTTGCTGGTAGAAAGGGAGGAGAAAAGAGGAAAAAAACAAAGAACAGACAAAAAAACCTGAGCCAAAATTTGTTTCGACGCATTTCGTAAGATGAACATTTCTCACAAACATGTGTTTCCTCTGAAAAGCTATTTTCCATCAGAACAGATCATCTGTAATATTAATTTAGGTTCTCCTGGCAGGTATGCATGGACGATGAGCAACTTGCATGACACTGGGTGGACTGCAGAGTCCCCAGTAAACTGTCCGACATAGTTGAACAAAAGACCCAATCTCTTAGTGGTAGGTCCTGGCCTTCAGGCACAGAAGTTCTCTCTCTAGCAGTTGCTGATCAGCTGTGTAGATCCTGGAAAAAAAGGGTCACCTCACTTTCCGTCGCAGTCTTGAAGTTAGAGGGTGACATCGCCCATTGAACTAGGGCTCGGGAAATTAGAGTTTAGTCCCCAGCTCTACTTTGTGTGAGCTCAAGCAAGTCATTTCAATGCACTGGGCCTCAGTTTCCTACCTGTAAAACAGGGTTAATACTTGCTTTCTGCTGTCCTTTGCCTATTTCAGTTATAAGCATTTTCAGGCAGGGACTGTCTAAGCGTGTGTACAGTGTCTAGGACAATGGGCCCAGGATGATGGCTGAAGCCTCTAGATGCCACCATAATAAGAGTCTGGTCATAGAAAACACCAAATGAGAGCATGAGCCTACTGCTCTCAAAGGGATAAGACAGAGGGATTTGAAAAGAGAAGATGAAACGAGTGCAAACCAAACTAAAGGCATAAAAACCTGCGACTGATCCGATCCCACTCTCAGTGATACTGAGGCACTCAGTATTTTTTGTTTGCTTTTGCTTCACTGTTTTAAGGGCTTATGTCTGAGAGCCAAAATCCTAGCCCCATGGTAACCAGCCTCAGGAAGTATTTTTGTCTTTACTCTTATGGTTGCAAGCTTTTATGTCTCATTTGGTCCCAAGTCCTAATATTTCCAGTGAGGAGGAGAACTTACGTCCCAATAACTCTATGGTCACTAAATACTCAGAGGACTTTTTTGAAGCATAGGGTTGTTAACCTGCTGTTGTGACCCAATTCCAGCTTGGATAATTACGTTCTGTCCTTCTAAAATTTCCTCTCTAGTTTCAGCTGGAGACAGAATTCTTCTTTACTTCCAATCCTACAATTTGGCAGTCTGCTTTTTTGTGCACTCCTTAAAGAGCGGCGGCTTTCAACTTCAGGAGGGTCTCACAAGAAAAGTTTGTAAAGGACTATGCAGTAACACTATATTAAGACTTTACATTTTATAACAACCTGCACTGTATGTTCACAGGGCCATAAAATATTAAGCATCTTTGTTTTTCTTAATTAAATCAAATGCAAATTAAAGAAAAGATAAGGCAAGACGTATCGTCACTCAGGAGGTTAGATGTTAATTTGCTTTCTGCATTAAAAAAAAAAAAAGGAGGGGAGCATTACAGGTAAAGATGCCCTGGGTTGAGATTTGCAAGGCAATCTAGGGGATTTAGACTTTTTCAAAGGAGCCTAAGGGAGTTAGATGCCCAATTGACAGTGTAGTGATTTGGGGGGTGTGATTCTGCACTGCACCTCTTAGAGGCACAGTACTGAACTTGCAGCCTAGGGGAAGTTGGGAATATGATGGCTTTAAGCTACATTTGGTCCCTCCTGATTTGGGGCTGCTCCAGGAGCCGCTCGAGGCCCATCTAAGTTACAGCAGCCTGTCACCATCTACCTGTGGGCACTGCCCAGTGCTATGAATATGCAACTCTTCATCATGCTGATCTCTGAGTTAGTATATGCTGGAAAAACAGAATATCACTCTTCAAATGCATGCAATACTATTATTCGCTTCCGCCTGCAATAAAAATATATTGGGGAAAAAACAAAGGTTTCTTCTGTTATTTCTATTTGGGAATAAATGGAAACAACTTTAAACACACATGCAGCCCCTTTCATCAAAGTAAATCACTTTACAAATATTCAGGAGTGAAGCCTTGCAACACGTGAGAAGCAGATAATAATTATCTCTATTCAGCAGATGGATCAATAAAACAGAGAGGATAATTGACTTGCCCGAGTTGATGAAGTTACTCAGTGGCAGAGATCAGGACTCCTGATCCCCCCCCCCCTCCTCTGTATCTCTAAATTATACACACTCCACTAACAACATAGGGCAATGCTGAGCACTCTGGAAAACCCCACCTTAACTGTGCTCCCTTTGAAGTCGACGATAAAAATCCCGTTGCTTCAAGTGAGAGCGGAGTTAGGCTAATGCTGAGTGCTTCTGAAAATTCCACCCACGCTCTTTCTTCGGTACATCTTCATAGCCAGAAGCAGCAAGGCTCTGAGCCCAGGTCAACAGAATTGGGCTCACGGGGCTTGTGCTACCATGCTAAAAAGAGCTACTCAGACAGCATTTTTAAGCTGCGGGTTGAGCCAGAGGTTGGCTCTGAAGTCCACCCCCCTCCCTTGGCTTCAGGGCTTAAGCACCAGCCCAAGCCACATCACCTACGTAGCTATTTTAGTGCAGTAGTGCGAGCCCCACATCTGTTCACCCAAGCTCGGTGCCGCCGACAGGTTACTGCAGATTACCAAGTTGGATCCTTTGCCTCTTACCTGACTGGATTGAATGGTCTCATGCTCTAGTAAGGTTTTGGCTGAAATTGAAACAAAGACAAACACATTAGAGAACAGCCCAATGGAAACAACATAAAGCGAATGGGTAGAAAACAGAACCGAAACCTACCTTATTGGTGCTCATCCCTAGGGTAGAAAAGAAAGACGGGTCAGTCCGAATGTGGAACAATAGACACCACTTACCAGCCATAACCAGACAACTCAGCTACAGTTCAAAGTTTGGGCTTAGAGTCTCCGATGGTGTAAATCAGCCTGGCTCCACTGACTTAAATGGAGCTAGGCCAATTTACCCCATTTGGGGACCTGCCCCGGTATTTCAACAGAACCCTGGTGTGCTGAGGCTACTGCACACCACGCTGACCTGTATTGTCTCATCGTTTCCTTCTACTTCCCCCACCAGTCTGTCTGTATCCATCTGCTGCCTCTACTCTTATATTTAGGTTGTAAGCTCTTTGGGGCAGGGACGGTCTTTAGCTTAGCACAGTGGGGTCCAGCTCTATGACTGAGACTCTTATGCACTACAATACTACAAATAAATAATGGGGATGCCAGCAAACTCCTTTCCACCCCAAATAATGGTTTTCACACGCTTTTTTTTTTTTTTTTACCTTGGTAAAGAAAATACAACATCACAACAAGACACCCAGCAAGGACGACGAATAGGATGACAAGGAACCAAGTTGCTGAGGTAGATTCTGTCCATAAATAAATAAAAGAACCATTTTATAAGAACAACCTGCAGAGAAGAATAAACACCCTGTTGCTTCTTAGAGGACATAGATATGATTTACAATAATGAAGCCATATTACATCTGTGTGTGTGTTAAAAACCAGTCTACTGCAGAGGATTAAAAACAAAATAAAATAAATAGAACAAACCACAGCTGAGGCTCAAGAAACTTTTGGGGATCAAAGTAACAATGATTGAGGTGGGATTTACGACCACATGGCGTTAAAGGCCGGAGATTGAGAGGACTTAGTTATTAACCCCCAGGAAGTGCCCTGAACAAAGGTTATTATTGATATTTGATAGCTGAGTATGAGGGTGAGAGATGATACATAGGCACAAAGATTGCATGGGTGGTTATTATTACTGTCCACTGTCCTAACACTTAAGGCTCACGAAATCACTCTCCACTCCTCACTGAAATCTCTCCAAGAGAGCCCCTCTGCTGTTGCCCAATGGAAAGGAGTTCAAAACAACACGGAAACACAAGCACACTCAGTAAGCTTTTCCGAGCAAGGACCACCTTTGTTCCTACACTTTCTACTGCACCAGGCACACTGTTTTTCTTTAACAAATTAAATCAATCAATCACAGGGTCAAACTGGTCAGGAAGGGATTTCTATTCTCCCTCCCCCAAAACGTTGATTATAAATTAAGTTTGCTGTGCATTTTTCTTTGTTTTTTGGGGTCAAAAAAAGGGTGGGTTTTTTTCTGTTTTTTAACAAAAATGGAAATATTGTTAAATGCCGTTTCCTCCGGTGAACACCGTACCTGTCACTTTCACCGTCAGGCTTTTCTTGATTGGGTGCTTTAGGCTTTGGTGTTCCACTCGGCAGGTGTACCGACGCCCATCGTCCCTGAGGGAGGCCTTAAGCAGGAAGTAACTGGAGAAGCTGTAAGTCCCATCGCTGTTCTGCCTGTGACTACTAGAGACAACGTGAGTCACCAAATGTGGGAGCATCCCCTGCTGCATTGGTTCCTGAAACCACTGAGCCTCGGCATCATGAGGGTAAAAGTGACTGATGTCACAGACCAGCTTGTGTTCGTCTCCTTCCACCAGAGACAGGACAGCAGCGTTCAGGGTCACCGTGGGCTTTTCTGGTTAAAAAAAAGTTATTACAGTGCTGCATCCAGATCCATTTAAAAATAAGCAAACTCTGCTATTAAAATGGCTCCATTTAATGTCCCTCATTTCTAAAGAGATCACTGATTCTAGCCCCCAAATTACTTCCCATCCACACAAATTTGGTTTCCCTCACTTATATTGCTGAAAACTGTTTGCACCAGAAACACAGAATCACGAGACAGAGCTTCACTCCACCAAAGGAAGGAATCCCACAGCATTATAAAGCTTCCACCATGAATATATTTGTGTCCCCCCCTTATTTTGGGGGTCCCTGACCCGTCGTGACCCACATTTACGTGTTGGCTGGTTGAGAAGAATGGCATGGAACCATTAAAAAACCCTTAGACATGTACCACCCACAGGCGTTAAGTTTATCATAGAAAAGGGAAATGACACAGGTACTAAGCGCAGCGGTCATCCTTTAAAAAAGGAGCTTGCTGAATATGACCCAGCTGCACTGCAGGACTTGCCAAAGGATGCTCCACTGGCTAAAAGTCAGCTGCCCTAGCTTTGTTATGGAAAGACAGACTTGGGAGAGCACGAACCCTTGCTGCTGGATCTGCCCCAAGCTCTGGTCTTGGGTCCCTGATTCTATTCCTTGATAGAGTTAGACACAGCAGGGTTTATCCCACAGAGACATAATTAAAGGGTGGTGGGAAAAAAAGCACCAGATAGCGATCCCGTGGGCAAGGAGACTGGATCCTGTCCGAGAGCCTCACAAATTCTCCCCCTTTGCTCAATTCCAGCGGCGTACTTCATAAATACAGAATAATACACAGCGATTGTTAAGCGATCACCCGTCCGTATCAAGGCAAGTATCCTCTTATCCTGCTACATGAAGATAATACAAAATTTTCAGCATTGCCCAATATATTTAAAAAGAATCAATTACCTACTATTTCCAGCTGGATATTCTGTGCCCAAAGCACTGAGGACACCAATATTTGGCAAGAATAGGTTCCTGCATCTCTTACTCCCACTGTTTTTAGTAAGAGAGAAGCATTCCCCTTCGGGATCTCTGCTAGGAACATCTCAGCCCGTTTATCCTTGTGTTCCACCTGCCTGGTAGATCCATTGTAGGCAAATATCAGCTTTTTGTGTCCCCCTTTCTGCTGTAATATCCATTTGATGGTGACATCTGTGTTGTGATCGACTGAGAAAGCACAGCTGAGGAGGACATCCTTATTGAAGCCAGATTGGATTACAGAGGGTCCTGTGCGTACCAAGAATACATCTGTAATGCAGATGATAAAGCATCATTAGAGTGACCAGATTTTGGATCAATGGTGCTAAACACAGTCAGAGTACAAGCTGCCATCTAAAGACACACAAACCCATACTACAGAATAAAGCTTATATATGGTCAGAGCGAGAAATGGGTACCATTCATTGCTCTGCCACCAACTTCTTTTGTGCCCTTGGGCAAGCCATTTAACATCGCTTTGTGCCTCAGTTTCTCCATTTGAATAATGGGTACAATTAGCCTTCAATAATTCATAACTGTGTTACAAGTCTTATGCAGCGTTGTAGCTGTGCTGGTCCCAGGATATTGAGAACTCAAAGTTTCAAACCTCGTATTTAGCAGGGACACTGAATTAGTTTCCAAGACCTGAAGAAGAGTTCTGTATAAGCTCGAAAGCTTGTCTCTCTCACCAACAGAAGTTGGTCCAATAAAAGATATTACGTCACCCACCTTGTCTCTCTACAAGTCTTAGTTAACTAACACTGGTTTTTGCAATCTAGGTTTTCATGATACTAAATAACTGGGAAACATTTATAATATTCTTTAAAATCCTCAGGTGAAAGACTATATCTATATATTACTTCAGTCGAGTTATTCCCAATTTACACTGGGAATCTGGGCTGGCCGGCCAACTGAAACACACACACACAAAATAAAAAAACGTTTAGGCTTCAACAAAGAGGCTATCTTTTGGCCATCAGAATCCCACTCTTGCTATTGTAAAAGTGAAAGTGAGTGTGTGAAAGCAACATGCTTGAGAGGGCTGAGCACAGAGTCTGAATTCTATTTTCTGTTCTGCCACTAAGCCAATCCGCCTCCCTGCCGCAATCTCCCATCTGAAAAGGGAAGATGATCCTTGACCTCACAAGGGTGCTTTGAGCATTAGCTAGTTAATGTCTCCATAGTGGTTTTGAATATGCAAAACGCTAGACATGTGCTAAATAGTATTACAGACCATTGTTGTTATTACTTGCATTTGGGTTGAGAAGCTGCCAGGTTACACTTTTCTGGCAATGCAAGTTATCTTTACATCTACTTTCCAGTCCCTTTACCCAGCTACACTGGAGTCAAGTGGCATTAGCTGTACTGGCAATCCTAAGTATTCATAAACCATGAGTCATACCTCGCAGAATCATGAAATTGGCTTAAAAATTAAGAGATTTAAAAAAATAAATAAATACATTTGGTCTTCTTTTTTATTTACCTTCTAGGTTTTGAGTCTTTAAGAGACACCAGGGTCAAATTTTCATCATTGTCTCCATAACGATGAAGCCTAGAAACTTACTTTCTAAAAAATATATATATTTGACAAATTAATTTATTATCAAAAGGACTGTAGAGATGGTCTCTTATTCACAAGATTCCAGGAGCTGGGGCTTTAAGGAAAACACCAAATATCTGGACACCCCAAATAAAATCGCAGGAATCGGCAATTCTCCCATTGTGTAAATAAGAATGAGACCCATTATTTAGATTATACACAACCCTAGCAAAGCTGTTTCTCCCTACTTTAAACCCACCAATGGGATATTTTAAAAATATCATGATGCTAGTTATTTCATTGACAAACTCACATTGTCTTTACAATGCCACATGAATATTGTAAAACTTAAAGTCCTCATTTGGGCGGTGCAGTAGAAGTGCAAACCAGGATTATTATTTCATTTTTTTGGATAGTCTTGTTACCTGAAAGATAAAACGTCTCTGTGTTGCCTTGAGAAACATCTTCGGGAATTCGGTTCTCCGCTTCTTTGCTGGCACTTGATTGTACCAAAAAGACTGTAATGGTGAATTTGTCATCCAGGTGCTTTATGGTGCCAGTGAACCATGAATCTAGTTTATGAAGTTGAGTTTGTAACCCAGGCCAGAGGATCTGGGTGTTATCTGTAAAATATCTGCTAATCTTACATTCAAGCTTGTCAGTATCCTCATCCACGTGTTGGAGAATATCCAGTGAGGACTCTGCATGAAAAAAACACATGCACCTGTTAGAATCCCAGCTTTTCTTCATCAATGTTATGGAGAGAGTTGAACTATCTACGCACACCAGCCCAAACAGCAAATACGATGCAACCCTATTCAATCTCAGTGGTAATCAACTCTCAGCACATGCAAAAACAGCACGGAATTCTCCTCCCCAAACCGCCAGTTTTACAACAGGCTCAAGTCTCTGCCTTTATGGACCCAGTTGCGGAGTTGTGGCCCTAATTTGGTTGTAGCATCTCAGGACTAAGATAAAGATGCTTGTTAACGAATACCACACGCACCTCTCCTTCAAGGCTAATTACCCTGGCTTTAGGAGGGGTCTGACACGACAGAGCCTGATCAGGAGAAATTACACAGAAATCAATGGGAGTTACACCGGAGTAATAAGATTTAAGTGAGATCGGCACCAGATCTACGGTTTTCAGCATCTTTGAAATGAGTATCACTGAGCCTGCAGACTGTCGATTATCATCAATATCAGCTAAGGAGCTTTCAGGCTTAAAGGGTGAAGCTCTTTCCTGTACAGAGGCTTAAGAAGGACTTACGCGGTTCACAGACCTCGTACTGGCTGAAAGAATAGCCAAAGAAACAATCAAATCAACAGATGAGAGACCAAGAAAACAGACAGATGTCCTGATTTCTAGAGGTCAGCTGCCGGGCTCATCTTGTCACAATGTCTTTTACCATCCCCAGAAGCGAATGAGGAGATCCCTCCACGAATTTGACAGCACTCACTTGAGTGCACTGGGAAAAGCACAGAGTTCAGCAGACTGAATAATGGGATATTCTGGGGAGTGCCTTTTAGTCAGATACATTTTACAAACATAGGGGTATTCTTGCCCCTTAAATTCTTTCTTTAATGCAGTATATTGTCACCGCTCTTTGTCATTCGCCATACACACAATAGGTTATTTGTGAGCCACACAATAAGTCACTTAATCATAATCACACAATAATGTTATTTCTAAAGATAAACCCAAAGCAAACCCCCAGACACACAGGGGAATTTGGAACCTGGTTCAAGATCTGAACTTTGCAGCTCAGATTCCTCTCCTACCATGCTCAGCTCTGCATGAAAGGGCTCCAACAGGCACATCTGTTCTCTGAATCCTCCTACACTGTTGTGACTAGTTTGAGGAAAATGTACTCTGCAGATCCCACCTATGTTGTGATTAACTTTATCTGGTGATGATATAACAGCACAAGCGAACAACATTCCCAGCAAGATTTACCCTGGCAGATTTATCTTCCCACTCTTGCAAAATGATTAAATATTCGTTTACTAAGTGAATTTAATGCTGGTAAAGACTGAGGACTTATCTACACAGGGAAGGTAGTATGCAGTAAGTGAGGGTGTGAATTTAAAGTGCATTAGCTACTCTGCACCAGCTCCCCATGTGGACGCTCTTAATGCAGTTTGGCTTGGAATACTTCCAAAGTATATTAAGCTGATGTGCACGAAGGTGCTCTTAGGGTGCGGTAAGAGTCCACATGGGGAGTTAGCGCTATTGCGGGGCCTTTCCCCGTGTAGACAATCCCTGAAGTCTTACGTTTAGTCACACAAAACATCGCCGCCTGCAGTAACGCCCACAGCGACCTACTGAAGTGCCTCAACCATGAAGGTTCTGATCATTCCTTGCAATAGGGCAAAGCCAGCTTAGCTGAACAGCAGAGGATCAGCCCTGCCCGTGCCATCCTGCTGTGGTACAGAGTTGCCATAGTGACTTCTAGGCCATTCTCATCCCAGCTGCCCTGGCACACAGAGCATGCCCAAGGGATGTGGCTGAGGAAAAGGGAGCATGGTCAGGACAAGTTGGGGCAGTTGGTACAAGGTTGACCAACCTTCAGAGTTATTTCCTATTTCAGTCTTTGGGCTGCTCTGGTTTGTGTCCGGGATTGGTCTGTCCCCAAGAAGGCCCCAGCGTCAGAAGAAGGCTTACAGCAGCCGCCATCCTCACAGGCACCGAGTAGAGTGGAGCCACAACTCAGGATCGGGGCCTCACTCGCCAGGCTCACTCAGTTCTTCTGAACGGCCAAACCAACCACATATATAAGTGGCTCCCTGACATGGGCACTTGTCCACTAGAACCTGGGACACGACCCGCCAACTCATTTCAGGTTGGCCGGCCAGCCACTGCTAAGTTGCGGTCACTGTGACCCGAGGCACCTCTGTATTCGGACCCTACACACTACTGCTGTGATTTCTGTACCAAATACGCCTTGTGAAATATTTGAAAACAAACAACCCCCTGGTCAATATCATCATTGTAAATTGTCTATAACAAAGCTGGATGTGAATTATGAATGCTCACTGGTATTACCCTTTAATCACAGACTTCTAAGTGTATTTAAATCAGGCATGCTGGGGGGGAGGGAAGAGTTGATAAACTGTTTTTTTCCAGATAAAGACAAGAGGATGACACCTCAAAGCAGATATGGCTCAAATTCAATGGGCTATTGATTTGTATCAGAAGTTACAACAGGAAGAGATAATTTGGAACCAGCCCCAGCTTTATTTTTCAGACCTCAGGGGTCCTTTATTCAGCCTGAACTAATGAACTTTATCTGGGGGCATCTTTTGGAAGAATCAATTAAAAAGGTACCCTGAACTACAGAGAGACAGGGAGCAGACCCCTAAGTTATCCTCCACTTCAAGGAGGAAAAAAACCCACATGATTTGATCTCTGTGATGGGTCCTGGCCAAGCCAGCCCGTCAAAAGCTGGAAAGGAGACGGGCGGAGGGGTGGTTGTATTTTGTCATTAGGAGAGCTTTCTCCTAGCAACAAAGATCTGCGGCTACACTGCAGACCTTACAGCGGCACACAAGGTAGATGTAGGAGGCTAAGTTACAGGCTTTAAAAGTGACAGCACACATTCAATTTGCATGTAACCATCTCTACCTTAATTTCTGTTACTTGGTACCACTTAATCCATGCTCTTTGTGTGAATAAACTTGTTTTGCTTTCATTATAAAGCCTCAGTGCCGGATACATGCAGTGACGTCTGAGCTTCCAAGAAGCTGACAAATTGGAATGTTTTACGGTCTCTGCAGAAGCAATGAACCAAATACTTTTTTGGTGACGGTCCAGTAGAGGGACCAGACCCTGCAGGACGATGGTTTTGGGGTGAATTCAGGGCTGGAAGGGTTCTAAGGTCGGCCTGCAAGGAGTAAGCAAGTTGGGCAAGGCCAGCGTGAGGCTTGCGGGCTTTTGGGGTTGTAGCTCCGGACAAAAGCTGCACAGCTAGCCACAAGACGCTCAGAGTTACAAGGCAAACAGGTTTCAGAGGAACAGCCGTGTTAGTCTGTATTCGCAAAAAGAAAAGGAGGACTTGTGGCACCTTAGAGACTAACCCATTTATTTGAGCATGAGCTTTCGTGAGCTAGCTCATGCTCAAATAAATGGGTTAGTCTCTAAGGTGCCACAAGTCCTCCTTTTCTTTTTACAAGGCAAACAGTGACTGGCCCCCTTACTGGTGTGGGTGAACCCCAAAATGTCCCCCAAAAGGTTTCCATGTCCCACTGCCAATTACTCCCATCTGGAGTCCTCTTGCCCCCCACAAAAGGGAGATGAACCAATAATACTTCAAACATCTGAACAGTTTAGCAGCTACATAGACCTGTGCTGATTGTGAAAGTTACGCAACACAGCCGCTCTGCTCCCCGTTGTATTTAGAGTCAGGTCAGCTGACTTGAGTGACAAAACAGGTTCATCACAGTGATTAAGGATTACAAAATAACATGACTAAAGTGACAGCAGAACCTCAGAGTTATGAACACCAGAATTACGAACTGACCCGTCAACCACACACATCTCATTTGGAACCAGAAGTTCACAATCAGGCAGCAGCAGACACCTCCCAACCCCCCACCCCCCAAAAAAAATAAAAATAAAAGCAAATACAGTACAGTACTGTGTTAAACATAAACTACTAAAAAAACAAAGGGAAAGCAGAGTCATTCTTCTGCACAGTAGAGGCTCGAAGCTATATTAAGTCAATGTTCAGTTGTAAACTTTTGAAAGAACAACCAAGAAGTTTTGTTCAGTGTTATAAACATCACAGAGTTATGAACCACCTCCATTCCCGAGGTGTTCGTAACTCTGAGGCTCTACTGTATGTATTTGGTAACTCCCTTTCCTTAGATTTACCTTCCTACGTAGACCTGTATCTTTATACCTGGAGATCTCATCACCATGGTAATCTGAATGACTTCTTCATTTCTTCTGCTATATTTTCAAAATGCTGCATTCGAAATTCTGAGAATAGACGGGGGAATCTACGGAAGACTCTTCAGTCAAACACACTAAAAATGGACCCTCTCGTGTCAAACACATACTGTTTAGATCTTCACTCCACTGTCATTCTTTCACGGAAGGAAAGGCTCATCCTTCTGTTACATTTCTCTCTCGTAAAAATATTTGCTGAAACAAGTCAGGGTGCGTGGGCACACAGAAAACAGTCTGACATAGATCAACACCCCCTTGTCGGTAAACAAACAACTAGCATAGCATGCTTAGTTGTAGGATGTTATGGTGACATCTACTGGCCACTTTAGAATATAGCACAGCATCTATTCATTTAACAAACACAAACTACCAGGGGCCAAATTTTCCCCACAGCAGGACACAAGCAAGAACTCATACTTTGTGTCTTGCAGTGGGGAAGTGGGGTCCCCAGCTGAGAAAGGTAGACACTAGTACTCATATATTACATATTTATACTATATATACAAATGTTGTTAAATATAAGAATAGCCACAGATCAGGAGGTCCATCTAGTCCAGTATCCTGCCATCAACCGTGGCCAGCACCAAATGCTTTAGAGGAAGGTTCAAGAAACCCTGCAGTAGGCAGTTATGGGATAGCCTATCCCTCAGGGAAGATTCTTCCTGACCCCTAAAAGTAAGAGGTGGTTTTATGGCCTGACGCATGAGGAGTTTATATATATTAGAATTTATTGTTACAACTCTGCATATTCATATTCATTCAATCCCTTCTGAATCCTGCTAAGCTCTTGATCTCAACAAAATCTTGTGGCAATGAGTTCCATAGGGCATGTGCCTATTGTGTGCGCAACAGAGAATCATCATAGCTGGAATGCATAGTAACAGTTATCATTAAAGTTGACTACGCATTCCCATTCTAAAGGGCTTTATTTCTGTTTGTAACTTTCATTTTGCAGAGAGGTTTTCCAGGTGTGGTCTCTGCCGAAGAATGAATTTTAAATCTGAACAATAACAGCTCAGCCATTTTTGATTATGAAGGGACTGAACACATATACTTCTACTATTAAAACATCTTCGGTGTGTCTTTTAAAAACTTTTCTAATACCTCATTGGGAGAAGCTTGAAATTTAGCAGAGAGAGAATCCCTAGTTTGGAGACATGCCTCTTTGTGGTCTAGTGAAAATGCATTCTTCTTTGGCCTAAATATAAGGGATTAAAACACTGTGCTTTGATCATATGCACTTATGTTGCCTGAATCACAATCTCCCTACCTTCTACTGGCAACAGCATGTGCACAAATAAGTAAGTTGGGCACAAAGATCTGAAGGAGCATACGGAATGCGGAATGGCTCTGAAGATGCCGACTTATTCTGTATGATCTATTAATGCATGTACTGAGGTAGGTAGGAATCTAACTTCATGTGTCTGATTGTCTCATAGGGTCTTACTAATTATTTCCCGGTTGTTCTCTTTCCCACATTCTAAGTAAAGTAATGCGCATGTGGCATACCCTGCTTATCAATCTGTGGCATAGCCAGCTGACGCATCTATGACAACACAGGCAAGCTCCTGCTTCATATCAAGTCTTTCATTTTGTATATGCCATCTAGCCAGTCCACAGCAAGCTAGATTTCCAGAGGAGGACACTGAAGGTTTTAGTAAGTGAACACGATGAGCGAGAACAAGGCCCACTGATACTTTAGCTCCAGACAGGCTAAGTAGGATACACTCACGCACTTGAATTCCAGGCCCAGCTCCCCTACTGACTTGCTGTGTGGCTTTGGAAGATCACAAGAGTCTGTGTCCCTACTGGAAAAATGGGGGTAATATTCACCTACATCCCAAAGGCGAGGCTAGAGTGAGCAATGTTTGCAAAGGACTTTGTGGGTGTAAAGAGCTCCAGAAGTGCTAAGTATCACTGTTCTCCACAGCAGGCTGACATGGGAACTCTACAATGAGAGAGGATATGGCCTCAGAGACAGGGAAGCTATTGCCTGAATCAGAAAGGCCCCCCCTTGTGCTAAACGGTTGATGGATGATGACTCAGGCTGCTAATCTGGACAACCTGCTCCACCCACAGTGATGGGAAGACAATGCAAGCATAGCAATACACCAGCTCTCTTTGTGGGGGGCCTCCACCCAAGTGCAAGCAATAAACAACCTTACTGGCGAATTCCTTTTGGCCATCTCAAAGTATCACCGGCTTCCTGACAGTGGTGGATTAACACCAAAAACCACTCCAGGTCCCCCCACTGAGATCACCGCCAGGGTCCGATCCATGTGCAGCATTCCAACATTTGTGTGCTACCATCCCTGAGCAACCTGAAGGACACCCCCCAGGTGAGATTTGTCTGCCAACCTGCCCAGAGACTGGGGACCCCGGTTTTGGTTGCCTCAGCCTGCACCTACTTTACAACTCCCCCAAATTTGCTCATATGCCTGAGCATCTAAACAGATTACTCACCTTGTACGATAAACGTGAGGGTATTAGCAGCAGGAGGATTTTCTGAGTGAGGTCTCTTGGTGTCCTTCGATTCAGTTCCACTCAGCAGGAGCCAGGCATTCTGTCTGATGTACTTGAAATCACTTAACGATGGGATTGTTTCAGTTGTCTCAAACAAGCAGGAAAGCTGCCTACTACTTTGACTAAAGGTTGAACCTGCTGTTGCAACTCCATTATGGTGATTTAGGATTCCTTCAAGGCAATACATGCACAAATGCATTAAAAAAAGTACTGTTGATCTTTTAATTATAAAAAATACCCCTTAAGTTTTGTTTTCCCATGTGAAAAAAATGTAATACATTTAGCTAACCCCATTTCTATGCAGTTTTAATGGCTCCATTTGGTCCGTAGTATCTTGAATATTACTTTTTTTGAGGGTGAAGGGCCATTTTTCTGCATTATAGGAGTACAAGAAACTTTGGGCTCGTTATCCATAAATCTTTTGAGGGGAAAATAACAGAAGATATAAAATTTTCCCTGAGCAAATACATTTTGCTTTTTGGTCACAGAACATAATGTAATTATTAAGTTCTATTTAAACTACGGTTGTAGTATGATATAAATGATTAAGATGGTATATACATAAAAGTTACAAACGCAGCACAGTAACCCAGACAAACAGTTTTCTAGCAAAACCCCAAATCATGCTTCATTTCAAGTTTCATTAATCGCCAGCACTGCAGGCCAGACTGACATCAATTCAGACAAACCTAGCCCAAGTTTTAAATTTGTGGTTCAGTTTGTTGGAATAAATGAGCTAAACTTGGTTGTTATGTGGAGTCTATCACAAACCTGGGCAAAATAGCAGTTTTGGCTGAGTTTCACTTGGAGATTTTGGGTTCATTTCTATTAAAAAAAACCCCTAAGGCTAAGGTTTTAAAGTGAGACTCATGAATTTTGGGTGTCTCAAATTGGACACCCCAAAACTGAGGTACCACAAAAAATCACTAGAGACTTTTGAAAATCTTAGCTTTGTTTTTGTGTCATAGAAATCTAGGCTATTTGGATCAGCAGTGTTCTGCAGTGAAACCACCGAGAGGCCAACAAGGATAATCTCATCTTTACAATAGGACAGAAATCATCACAACACCCAACAGTCTCTGGCAACAACGGATCAAGAATTTAGCATATAAAGTGATTCAGTCTCATTTTACATAGCACTATAACACACGCAAATATACTAGGTGTACATACCAGTGCATAGGAAGCAACAAACTGCCGTGTAAATCCTACAATTCATAGTGGAGTTGCTTCAGATACAGAGCCACCCTCTACAGACACTCTTCTTGTCCCATAACTTTCAGTTCTCTCAATTTCACTTTCATTTCTCTCAAAGAGGCTGTTGCAATCCCTGCAGGGCGGGATTTCCTGGTCAAACAAACTTCGTAACAGCTGGGCCAAATTCTCTACTAGCATTAACGCCAGTGAAGTCAATCGAGTTACGCCAGCAGAGAACTTGGCCCATTGAGAGGTAAAAGAGCGGATATAGCTGCCAAAGAGGAGCTAAGGTTTATTTCTCTGTTACAAACAGGTGGCAATAAGTTCACAGCAATGTGCTGCAGTCACACTCGATAGGAGCTTCTAGATTCCCCCTTATTAACAAAGGTTGGGTGAGATCTCCTTAGCACCAGCTGTGGTAAGTACCGTCCCACAAGGAGCAGAGCCGGAGACAGTATCCTATCCAGCTCAAAAATCATACAATTGATTTAAAGATTATGAAATTTTAAAGATAACAGAGGTGTGGTACTTTTTATCTGCCTTCTGGTGTTGCAGCATTTAAGGTCAAGTTTCCAGGTCTTCCCCCTTAAGCAGGAGAGCTAGAAACTTAAAACAAAAACAAAAGCTGAGATTCTGAGCCCACTGCCAATACTGTTGCATTGTTTCCTTGCATTCCCCCATCTGTCTGCCTCCATCTGTTGTCTCTTGTCTGACACTTAGACTGTGAACTCTTTGGAGGCAGGGACCACTGTGTTTGCATCCGATGAAGTGAGCTGTAGCTCACGAAAGCTTATGCTCAAATAAATTTGTTAGTCTCTAAGGTGCCACAAGTCCTCCTTTTCTTTTTGTGTTTGTACAGTGCCTCGCACAACGAGGGCCTGGCCCTGGACTAGGTCTCCTACACGCTACGATAATACGAAGAGTAAATAATTTTCAGACTATAATCTGAATCCAGCAGCTGGGGCTTTAAGGAAAACACCAAATAGTAAGACTGCCAAAAAAAAAATGGGTGTGATAATGATGATCTGATAATCTGGGATTAGTCAGTATAGATTTATGAATGGTTTAAAAATGTAAACGCATGCTGCAACTTGACGTACTCGGTGACAACTTTTTGATACTGATTGCTCAGTAGCTGCCAGCCTTCTGGTTTACAAAGATTCTAGAGTCATGGACCATTTTTTATTAATACCATGAATAATAATGGGATAAAGGAAAGAGGAGAAAAAAGCTACAGAAAGAGTATGTTGCAAATGACCCATTGATATATAGTCTAGTATTAGACGATAGGGGCGTAGTCTTTAGCATTGAGTATTTAGGACCCACGAAAGGTATTAAATTGACAGCTTGGAGGGCTGTAATTTTATACCCACAGTACAGCAGAGGAAGTGGCAACGAATGCATCTCCATTTTTGCCAGTCCTGTGCTCCAGCAATAAGCCAAAGGGACCAGTTCTACGTCTGGTCCCTTTACAGCACGTCGCAATGAACAAAAAGTAAGTGTTCTTCAACCGTGTTAGCTCAGCTGAGCAGAACATGATTGAAAAGCCCAGTTAAGAGGTGTTACCCTGCTTCTTACCAGGGTTTTCAACTGTGCTAAGAAAACTGCAAAAACTAACTAGAAATAGGGAATCGCCATCGAATGGGGTTGTGCACAGTGGGGCACCAGAGGGATCTGTTCTCAACCAATTATCTGGAAGAAAATATAAAATAACTGTTGGTAAAATTTGCAGATTACACAAAAATTGGTGGCATGATGGAAATGGGTCAGTCATACAACCTGCATTTCAATTCAGCTAAATTCAAGGTCACACAATTAGAAACAAAGGAAGCAGGTCAAACTTATAAGATAGAGGAGTGTATCCTGGAAAGCAACAACTCTGAGAAAGATTTTGGGGTCATGGCAGACAATAAATTGAACACGAGCTCCCAGTGAAATCCCATAACAGAGAATGAATGCGATCCTTGGATGTATAAGTAGGAGAAGGGCAGTAAAGTTACCTGGATATACACTATTAGTGACACATTTACTGGAATACTGTGTCCAGTTCTGGTATCCACACTTCACAACAGATGTTAAAAAACTGCAAAGCATTCAGAAAACAACAACAAGAACAATTCGCAGTTTGGAAACAATTCCTTAGTGCAAAAGACTGAAAAAAAAGCTCCAACTATTTAATTTATCTAAAGGAAGGTTCAATAGTGACTCGAACACAATCTATAAGCAAGGAAGAGCTTACGGATAGTAATGGCTTTTTAAACTGGCAGAAGATGACAATGACCAATTCAGATTAAAAATAATATCATCTAATAGTGCTTTTCAACTGCAGATCTAAGAGTGCTTTACAACAGTCAGTAGCATGATCCTCATTTTACAAAAGGGGAAACTAAAGCACAGAGGTGAAAAATAAGGCACACCTTTTTAACAATGGACATAATTAACCATTGGGACAATTTACCCAGGGAGGTGCTGGATTCTCCATCACTTGGAGTCTTTCATTCAAGACTGGATGGTTTTCTAAAAATATATGCCATAACTCACACAAGAAGAGAGAGGCTTGATACAGAAATTATTGGGTGAGGTTCTATGGCCTGTGTTATACAAAAGATCAGACTAGATTATCAGAATAAGAAGTTTTAAGGCCCAAAGGAACCAATCTATGAAATTACACCAGTTGAGGACACAGCTCACAATGGATGAGCATTCCCTTCTAACTTTAATATTTAAACCTCACAAGTTTTGCAGTAGTTATATCTTTCCTTCCTAATGAACTCCCCCTTGCACACACAAAATCAAAACTGGTTGTTTTTAGTCCAACACAGGAGAAATGGGTTTATTTCCCGTGCCCCCCACCTCAAATTTCAATTAACAGGATAATTTCCTTCTGTGGAAACAGTGAAAGTTTCTATTCATTTGATTTCAATAGTAAAAACCCCCCACACATACCAAACAACCCCTCTTCCCCTACCATTACGAATTTTCGTTATTACACAGTAAAATACTTAAAACATTTTAAAAACAATACACTTTCCTTGATACAGATAATCCAGTAATATGTTAAATAGTCATCTGATTCTCAATTACTTACTTACTAGACCATGTAATTTTGACAACACATGAAAAGGTTAAAGGCTTACACAAGGAACGGAATCAGATTGACTTTTAAGAGGCTGACCCAGCAAGGCAACGAATGACCACAACTCCCACTGATACCAATCGGAGTGAGGGTACTTAGCATCGTACAGTTACCTTGCAGGGCTGGGCCTTCAGCTGAGATTTTCAAAGGAACCTAAGGGAGTTAGGTGCCAAATTCAGGCAACCTTTGAAAAATTCCAGCCTTCATGTCACTATGCCCCGGTGTAGCACTAATGGGTTTTGGGAGAGAGCTGGGTTCATCTTCAATCTTATTAAAAGAATGGCTGATATAGGATCTTTGGGAGAGCAGACAGAGAAGACGGATAAGGGATGAGTTACTCCAAAGGAACTAAAGATGAAGCACCAAGTTTATGTGTGTTCGGATGTGGGGTTATGGTTTGGAACCTTCTCTACATAAGAGTTTATAGCAGTAGGAAATAAAAAAACCCTATTGTGCTTCTCATGTTCAAACCACTTCACCAAGATAAAATTACATAACCCTCAAAGAACTCATATGTGGTAGGCATTTACCCCCATTTTATAGATGGGGAAATGGAGGCTCAGAGAAGTGCAGCAACTTGCACAGCTTGCCTGGTCCTTAGACTACACCTCTGTAACAACAGATACTATCTAAAACAGTATTTTCTTAAGAGCACTTAAAATGTCACATTACGAAAACACTGCCAGATTCACCATTGGTGCAACGACTTCTGCTTAGTAAAGTGATAGGTTTGGCCCACTCTTATGGTCCGCTCCATTCTGACTGGTTAACCCTGTGAATTGAGTGCACACACATTTTCACATCAGTAAGGTGGAACCTCCTTCCGGGAGGACAGGGTTGTCTTCATTTACTCTTCTTTGGTCCACTTCTCTGTTCAGGCCCTTCTGCCCTTTTCCTTCTCCAATCACAGATCTCTGAGTAGCTACATGATTGGCATTTCCATGCTTCCTCAATTTCCACTCCCTGTACCTCCCTTCGTCCTTTCCAGTAAGCAAGGTAGTACTGTGCTCTCTCTCTCACCTTTTCTTCTTCAAACTGAACCACCTCTGTCCCAAGCAGGGTGTTACTTTCCTGGTGGCTGTATTCGATTTTCAAACAGTCAATGCTGGGGATGTCGGAGAGCGTCATGTTTAGATACATCAGCTCCAGGAGGTCCCCAAAGCAGGTTACCGTGAAGCCTACTTTCTGAGCGTGTTCCCTAATGTGCGATCCCAGTGGCTGCTCCGGCCTCAGATGGATGTGACTGGTGATAACATCTGGTTTCAGTTGTCCTTGCACCATGGCATCAAAAATGTATTTATACAGACAGACCTGAAATGGGGGAAGATAATAAGCAATCCACTATAGCAAAATGCGTTATAGAATGCGACAAGCTGGGTTGTACTCCCCTAGGCTATGTCTACACTTACAGCTAGGGGTGGGATTCCCAGCTTGCATAGACATACTCCATTTTCACTCACCTGAACTAGCATGCTAAAAACAGTAGGGCAACACCGGCAGCCATGGCACAGGTTAGTCGCCATGAGTACATACCCTCCAGGTTCAGAGGGGTCTGTACTCCGAGCGGCAGGCCAAATCTGCTGCTGTCCACGCTCCACTAATTAAAGCTCAGATGAGAGCAAGCGTGAGTACGTCTGCACGAGCTGGGAATCCGCCCCCTCTCTCAGAGGGTAGGCATAGCCTCAGACTTCACTGGAAACTCCAGCCCTAAATCATCAGGCTACTCAGTGCAATACTTCCTTGAAAGCCGAGTGTATTATACATAGAAATGCCCCTCTCCGTAAGGGTATATGTCAGCTCCAAATAAATGAATCGCCCAGGAAAATGTGGAGGAGCTAGTAATAGAAGTTATTTGCATGTACATTTTTAGGTGTAAATAAAGTGTGTTCAAAATTGAGGCGCGAGTCTGATAGAATGAGTCTTAATCAGCTGAACTTTAAAAGGTGGGGTTTTCACAGCTGCCCGAATTCTAAATGGGAAGCAGGCAGCCAAATAAATCCTTTAGGCAGCTTTGATGATACTCAGCTGAAAGCAGATCTCAAATTACATGAATAGGGTGCACTTGTAGTTAAAATAAAAACTTAATGTTGCACAAAACCAATCCAAGTGCTGTGGGATTTGATGGCAATAGTCTAGTAGGTGATGTATGTCTCTGCAAGTCAGCATTGAACCAATGATCTGGGGGGGCCATGGACTGCTGGAGTCCTATCTTTTTGCATGAGATGCTAAACCAGTGTCCTGAAAACCTGTCTCTGAAGATCCTAGGACACTTTTCCCAAGAGAAGGGTTGTTAACGCTGATGCCTGGTCTGAATTCCAGTTTGGGTTGTTACACTCCACCTACATGGAGTTCCCCTTCTAGTTTCAACTAAATACTTCTTGTCCTAAACAGCTGTGTAAAATGGTGGCTGGCTCTCAAACAACTGTTCTCTTTCATTCCAGAGATGGTTGCAATTCACATATAAATTGTACAATAATCTGTAGAGTGTTTTTGGTGTAAGAGGGACAATATAAATACAAAAAGTCATTATATTACAGTACTTCTTTAGGAACCCATCAGTTGCTTGTTTTCTGAGCAAATATTTGTCACTGGATAGACCCCTCTATGGATTTGAACATATTTTACCCACCTGGAAATAATCTTTCTTTTTCTGTGCTCCAGAAGGCATAAAAGGTCGGCCTCGGGTTTTTAGCTCTCTCAGCTCCAGCTCTCCCTTGGCACTATAGCACAGCTCATCAATAATTCCCATCAGGAAGACATCTTCTATTATTCCAAAGACTGGAAGCTCCCGCACGCAACCACCTGGAATACAAAATAGGATACCCATACATTTTATGAGGCTCGCTGGCTTTTGATTGAAGATTTAAGTAACACTGCAGACTTCTTGGAATTGTACTACATTTTTTTTTAAGATGCATTTTAAGAATTTGCATTTAGACACCTGATTAAGAGAATGCTTGCATGCCTCCCCAAGGAGTTTCAGTTTTAATAATCTAAGGTGGTTATTAGAAATTCAGGCAAGGGAATTTAAAATACATATTTTTGTCTTGACAATCTCTAAATGTTATCCTTTCAAGCTAGCACAAAGATCACAGCAAATTTTTATATATAAACTCTCTCTCTCTCACACACACACACACACAGAGTAAAACAAAGATAAAAAAAGTATGACAATACCTTTTGCCTGCCTACATACCTGCTTGTAGAACTGGAATCACAGAAAGAAGATTCAGTATTTTTATCGCCCACGAATCTTCCTTGCTGGTCGTATGTACTTTCACTACATCATGAACTTCTAGTTCTGGTTTCAAAAGAGATAAAACAATTATTATTTTTTATCACAGTCCTGCCTTGAGGCTGCAAATCATCTCTGGGTCCCATTGTGCAAGGCACCATGAAGCATGGTAAAAGAGCTTCAGTGTAAATAAACAAGATAGACAACAGGTGGGAAGGGAAACAGGTACAGAGATGAGTACCCAAGGGTACTCAACAGATCAGTTGGAGAGCCAGGAATAGAAGAACCCCTGTCTCCTGACCCCCAGTCCAGTGCCCTCTCTGTGAAAATAATCACCAATTTTAGAAAACGATACAAAATTAGGCCTCTTTCCTCAACCCTGGTGCAATATATCAATCCACTGAGGATTACAAGGAACACTTTCTTTTTTCCAGGGACACCCGTAAATTAAATATAGTCCAGAAGTGGGCATAGTAGGATAGTTAATGCAGTGTCTGTTATACTGCTCTTTAATGCAAGTATATGCTTTTGGGTGACTCTTATGAGGCTAGAAGGTGAAACTCAGCTTACTGTTATACCTTTGCATCCCTTGCTGACATCAATAGATTTGTACAGGTGTAGCTGTGGGCAGAATTTGACCCAGCACATTACAAGTAAATTAATTTGTTCACAAACATATTAAAGCTTTCCAAAATATTTGCAGAAAACATAATGAAACAACGCACTGTATAATAAACTACACAGAAGAGGCTGGGGAGAAAGAAAACAAAATGGAAGTTTTTACTGCAACATCCTGGTAGTTTTACCTCTTGCTAGATGTATGCTCTTCCCTGTGTTTAATAACACGACTGTCTCTGGTGCCTGCTGCTGAGGGAGCTCCCTCCCATAAACCATTTGCTGTTCGCACCAACTCTGAGTGGACAGATCAGTCACGCAAAGGTAGTTCAGGTCATATTTTTCCAGGGGAGTCTGTGCTCTCTTTCTTTTCATCTTCCCAGATTCCAGAGGCAGGTCGCTTGAGGAGTTTGGCTTTCCAGAGTGTCTATAATGAAATACACTAATTGTTTTCCCCCCTCTAGAGTACTTTAAAAATACAACTGTTTTGCAGTTTGCACAGTAAGTTTCTCCGGCAAAACCACTACACAAAGATGAAATAGTAAATTGATGAGCGATGTCAGTCTCTCTTTAAAGTCTGTACCAAGTTAGGGACACACTGGTATGGTTCCTACTGTCCTCTGTGAAAGCCCCAGTAAGGAGCAGTCGTTTATTTTCAGTGTGCATGAGCCAGATGAGGGCAAGTTTGGACCTGTCTCACACCCTCCCATGCGGATGTCCAGCTCAGCCCCAGAGCAAAAGGAAAGTCTCCCTGAGTTAGGAATCTAGATGCTGGGAGCAGGGAACAATTGCTCGGATGGAGATTTGATCTTCAGGACTCCTTGGGGAGGCTACAAGCCTTGGCTCCCCCCCCAGCCCTGTTTAAGGCAGGGGGCCAGTTCGCTGCCCCCTGCCTTCGGGAGCGAAGGGGGTACAGGACCCTACCCTGCTTTGGCAAGCACCCAGGATGCAGCCCAATTTGGAGGCTGCTTCCCAGAGGCCGGGGGGGGGGGTGCAGCTCTTCTAGGAGCAGCCAAAGAAGCCCTCCGGGGGTTACCGGGGAAGAGCCATAGCAAGCTGGAGTTGGGATGCAGCATGGGGGAAGGGGGCGAGCTCCGGGAGCTGCCGCCCCTCTAGGCTTTGGAGGTGGGGGGGCGGTTTACAGGCGAACCCCGAAGCTGGGGAGAGTCGGGCAGCGCCTACCCCGGCTGCAGCGCGTCGTCCCCCGCCTCCTCCAGCAGCCGCAGCAGCTCGGAGTCGCTGAGCTCGCCAGGCTCGGAGCCCTGCCCCGCCATGGACGCTTGAATCGCAGCCCGTGCTCCGCCTCCCCCTGCGCGCTGGGGCGAGCACGGCTCGGAGGAGGGGCAGGGGGCTGGTCTCCACCCGGGTCCCTTCCCTCCAGCTCCAGCTCCCTCCCACGGTGTTCTCCTTCCTCCTCCCCTTCTCTAGTCCCATGCCCTGGGACCCCGCACAGCAGAGACTGCAGAAATGCGCATGAATAAGGACCAGTAATGGAGACACGGGGTCAGCCCCCAAGCCGCCTGAGAAGGCCAGCCCCAGCAGAGGCATTATGCATTGTGAAAAGGAGGACTTGTGGCACCTTAGAGACTAACCTTAAAGACTTGAGCATAAGCTTTCGGTGAGATACAGCTCACTTCATGGGATGCATAAAGTGGAAAATACAGTGAGGATATTTATATACACACAGACCATGAAAAAGTGGGTGTTTATCATACACATTGTAAGGAGAGTGATCACTTAAGATGAGCTATTACCAGCAGGAGAGTGGGCTGGGGGGAGAGAAAACCTTTTGAAGTGATAATCAAGGTGGGCCATTTCCAGGAGTTAACAAGAACGTCTGAGGAATGGGGTGGGGGTGGGGGTGGGGTGAGGAATAAACAAGGGGAAATAGTTTTACTTGTATAATGACTCAACCGCTCCCAGTCTCTATTCAAGCCTAAGGTAACTGTATCCAATTTCAGAGGAACAGCCGTGTTAGTCTGTATTCGCAAAAAGAAAAGGAGTACTTGTGGCACCTTAGAGACTAACCAATTTATTTGAGCATGAGCTTTCGTGAGCTACAGCTCACTTCATCAGATGTTTACCGTGGAAACTGCAGCAGACTTATATACACACAGAAATCAGAAACAATACCTCCTCCCACCCCACTGTCCTGCTGGTAATAGCTTATCTAAAGTGATCAACAGGTGGGCCATTTCCACACAAATCCAGTTTCTCACCCTCCACCCCCACACAAATTCACTCTCCTGCTGGTGCTAGCCCATCCAAAGTGACAACTCTTTACATAATCAAGTCGGGCTATTTCCTGCATAGATCAAGGTTTTCTCACATCCCCCACCCTCATACACACACAAACTCACTCTCCTGCTGGTAATAGCTCATCTAAACTGACCACTCTCCAGGTTTAAATCCAAGTTAAATCAGAACATCTGGGGGGGGGGGGGTAGGAAAAAACAAGAGGAAACAGGCTACCTTGCATAATGACTTAGCCACTCCCAGTCTCTATTTAAGCCTAAATTAATAGTATCCAATTTGCAAATGAATTCCAATTCAGCAGTTTCTCGCTGGAGTCTGGATTTGAAGTTTTTTGTTTTAAGATAGCGACCTTCATGTCTGTGATTGCATGACCAGAGAGATTGAAGTGTTCTCCGACTGGTTTATGAATGTTATAATTCTTGACATCTGATTTGTGTCCATTTATTCTTTTACTAGAGACTGTCCAGTTTGACCAATGTACATGGCAGAGGGGCATTGCTGGCACATGATGGCATATATCACATTGGTGGATGTGCAGGTGAACGAGCCTCTGATAGTGTGGCTGATGTTATTAGGCCCTGTGATGGTGTCCCCTGAATTTGCAAATTAATTCCAATTCAGCAGTCTCTCGTTGGAGTCTGTTTTCGAAGTTTTTTTGTTGAAGAATAGTCACTTTTAGATCAGAAATCGAGTGGCCAGACAGATTGAAGTGTTCTCCGACTGGTTTATGAATGTTATAATTCTTGATGTCTGATTTGTGTCCATTTATTCTTTTACGTAGAGACTGTCCAGTTTGCCCAATGTACATGGCGGAGGGGCATTGCTGGCACATGATGGCATATATCACATTGCAGGTGAATGAGCCTCTGATAGTGTGACTGATGGTGTGGCTATCAGAGGCTCATTAATTATAACATTCAAAAACCAGTCGGAGAACACTTCAACCTCCCTGGTCACTCTATTTCAGACCTAAAAGTCACAAGTCTCCCCAAAAAAACACCCTCAAAAACAGACTCCAACGAGAGACTGCTGAATTGGAATTAATTTGCAAATCAGATACAATTAACTTAGGCTTGAATAGAGACTGGGAGCAGTTGAGTCATTATACAAAGTAAAACTATTTCCCCTTGTTTATTCCTCCCCTCCCTCCCTCCCCCCCCCACTGTTCCTCAGATGTTCTTGTTAACTTCTGGAAATGGCCCACCTTTATTATCACTTCAAAAGTTTCTCTCTCCCCCCAGCCCACTCTCCTGCTGGTAATAGCTCATCTTAAGTGATCACTCTCCTTACAATGACAGGTTTCAGAGGAACAGCCGTGTTAGTCTGTATTCGCAAAAAGAAAAGGAGTACTTGTGGCACCTTAGAGACTAACCAATTTATTTGAGCATGAGCTTTCGTGAGCTACAGCTCACTTCATCAGTGACAATGTGTATGATAAACACCCATTTTTTCATCGTCTGTGTGTATATAAATCTCCTCACTGTATTTTCCACTTTATGCATCCAATGAAGTGAGCGGTAGCTCACGAAAGCTTATGCTCAAATAAATTGGTTAGTCTCTAAGGTGCCACAAGTACTCCTTTTCTTTTTGCGAATACAGACTAACATGGCTGCTACTCTGAAACCTGTCATTATGCATTGTATTCGCCCCCGCCCCCCAGCAGAGGTTTCTGGCTCTTTTACTCTTCGCTTTCAGCTTGTCCAGCCAATATCAGGGAATGGAAAGGCAGGGTATCCTACCAGGTCCCAGGCTGTATTTGATATTAAACTGATATCCCCCATTTAGCAAATCCTGATTTGGCCTTCCTCAGGCAGCCTCGCCAACTCTCCTGAATTTACTGTGATCCTGGCAGTATAGGGTGTCTTTTGTAAAGCCCTAGCTCCTGGATTCACGGCCCTGCAAATCTGCAGGTATCCACTTTATATCCACAGACCCATTTTGGGGGAATTGCGGATACAAAATTTTTATCCGTGCAGGGCCCTAGTCATGTGAATACACGAGAGTTTCATAGAATCATAGAATATCAGGGTTGGAAGGGACCTCAGGAGGTCATATAGTCCAACCCCCTCCTCAAAGCAGGGCCAATCCCCAACTCATCTCTCATTAAAAAAAAAAAGTTTCTAGCAGAAAAAAAAAAGCTTGAAAATGTGATCCAAGTGCATCCTCAAGGCTCAGAAGCAGAAGTCAAAACAATATATATAGGGTTCAACTCATTTGTTTTAAAAACTCATGCTTTTGTAAGCCAATCTCATGATATTTTGTAGCCTGACATGATGTTTGACAACATTCTAATAGCGTGTGATTTTTATGGGGCACACGCACCTTTCCAGTGCTTTGTTCCTGTCCTTGGGTGTAAATCAACATTTTCTCAGCACAGCTCTGAGAATAGGAAGTGTTACTTTAGGTGTTCTTCACTGCTGGTTATGCTAGGGCTGTCAGGTTAAAGCAGGAGCTACTGTCTGCATGAGTCTCAAGGGTAGCAATGTCGTGACACAGCAAAACCAGATAAAGATGTGTCAGGTGAAAGGTTTATCCAAAGGGAGGCTGTGTCTACGGAATTAGTGGGTGAGTCAGTCACACGCAGGTGTCTCTGGCTCAATGCTGGAAACCTGACAGAGCTGACAAGCTGAATGTATTTGTTCAAAGTCATGCTGGAAAGAATACGATTAGGCTAAGCTTTTAAAAGCCTTGACCCCCAGCTCACATCAACACAGAGACAAGTTTCACACCTCCCTTCTTGTTCCGCTGTCTCCTTGCCTCTACTGCAGGTAAGTAATGCCATTTCTTCACATGACAGAGCCTTACATATGACTCCTTCAGACTTCACTTCTGTTTTCTAAGCTCTTCCTGCACGGATGTTATAACCTATTCACTGTGTCTGCGGCTGAGGACTGAAGCTGGGTTATTAAAAATGGATTTAAAATGTATTCCTCCCCCCCACATAATTTTCCATGTCTGTTGCAACAATAGGAGAATGTCTTCAAAGGCAAAGGAGGAGCATGGCAGCTGTACAGACAGGGATGCCTGACAGCACTTTCTCCTAGACCTTGTCTGACAAGCGTTCTTTAATCTTTACCAAATGCTATACTCTTCTGCCTTCCCAGATCCATTGGCTGTCAACATTCACATGAGAAACTTAAGTCTCTCTAAATTAAGTTAGATTGAGTTGGTTATGCTAGAGGAGAAAGTATTATCTTCTGTCTACTAATTCTAACCATAAAAGAACATCCTGGGGGAAAGTTATGAGATATAATGGGTACCTGGCAGAATCTGGTTGCTACATTGCAATAGACCACGTGCTGACTCGAAATAAGTTACGCAAAATTACTCCAGACAAGTTACGGAATGACCATTGAGCATGTCTGACCCTGACACTAGTGTTTGCCTAAAGGAATGGTAAACAAGAAGCAAAGTGTGCCAGCCCCTCATTGCTAAGCACCGTTCTAAATAGATAGTCAAACAGTCTTCTCATCAGCTCTTCAAAGCAAGCCTGAGGTGTGCTTTATCAAAGACAGGCTAGATGCAGATAGTGTTAGTCTAATGAAATCCCAGATTTTTAAGGCCAGAAGGGACCACTGTGATCACTGAGTCTGACCTCCAGTATAACACAGGCTATAAAAGCTCACCCAGTAATCTTTACCGTAAGCCATAATTCTGATTGGGTTAGAGTATCCCTTTTAGAAAGGCATCCAGGACAGGTCTACACTACAAACCTACATCAGTATAACTATGTGGCTCAGGGGTATGAGCGATGCAGTTGTACTGACCTAAGTCCCATTGTAGCTAGCGCTCGGTTGACGGGAGAACTTCTCCTGTTGACATAGCTACCACCACTTCTCACGGAGGGGGATTAACTATGCTGATGGGAGAAGCTCTCCTGTCAGTGTAGTAGCATCTTCACTAAGCTTTTTAAGAGTAGACCTGCCCCCCAGTATTGATTGAAAGACTTCAAGTGATGGAGAATCCACCGCACCTCTTGGACAGTTGTTCCAATGGTTAATTACCTTCGCTGGTGAAAAAAATTGCATCTTATTTCTTATTGGAATTTATCTAGCTTCAGCTTTTTACCA